TTCATCAAAACCTTTTTTGGTTCTGGAGTTTTTCGATCCCAGTCTTCTTCCTCAAATGCTATCATTTGTGGCTTATTGGTTAGTTCTTCAGCATGGGAGTTGAGTACGTCAGTGACATCATCCTCACTGATGTCTAACTGCAGTTGGTTACTGATATCAACTACATATTACCTGGCTTCGGCGATGCTGTCAGCTGTGAACCCTTGAAGAACATGTGCAAACTGGGAACACCACTGGTTCCACATACCTTTCATGTTGGAGCCCTGGTGGCATAATTGTTAAGGCATTTGGCTGATAACCAAAAGGTCAGTGGTTCGAATCCATCAGTCACTCTGTGGGAGAAAGATGAGACAGTCTGCTTCTGTAAAAAGTTATAGGCTTGGACTCAGTAAGGCATCAAAACTGGATCCTGGATAGAGTGGGAGGAAAAAATGTGGAACAAAATTCAAAAACACAAAAATGACCAGAATTACTGGTTGGATAGAGTCTGGAGGAACCCCTGAGACTATGGCCCTGGTTTACGCTTTGGGCCTAGAAATGGACTCACTCCCATGGATTGGCCCAACAGTAGAAAGACCTACATGCAGAACACCTACCTCAGGGCAATGTACCCACATTAGATCAATCAGCCATGAGACATCAGAGGGGCAGCATTCACAGAGAGAGTGAGCTGGACAGACAGGAAGGCACAGATAGAAGGGCACAGGGAGCGGGTAGGCACAGGGAGGGTAAGGTTGGAGAGTTTTTTATGGTTGGGGATGATAATCAGGGACTGAAATCAAATGTGCACAAACTGTTGATTGTAAAACAAATTTGCTTTGTAAATTTGCACCCAAAGCACAATAAAATTAAAAAAATAAAATAAAAGGGTTTGCAGGCTTGGAAACCTATTGGGTAGTTCTACCCCCCCGTAGGGTTGCGGTGAGTCAGAATTGACTTGATAGCAGTGGGTTTGCTTGTTTTTTCCTTTCACATTCGACTCCTCCATTTCCTCCCAAGAATCAGCAATAGTTTTGATGGTGTCACAGATCTTGTGATTGGTCCAGAACTCCCTTAATTAAGCTCATTGCATCACCTTGGGTAGCTCTGACCACTTGTGAGAAGAACCAGAAAACCAAACCCACTGCCAGCGTGTCGATTCTGACATATAGTGACCCCCCCCTTGGGTTTCCAAGACTTAAATCTTTATGGAAATAGATTGCCTCATCTTCCTCCTGCAGAGCAGCTGGTGGGTTTGAACCACTGACCTTCAGGTTAGCAGCCAAACGTCTTAGCCATTACACCGCCTGTAGGAAACCCTGTGGGGCAGTTATACTCTGTCACGTGAGATCACTATGAGTTGGAATTAACTTGACTGCACCCAAGAACAACATGATAAACAGTAAATTTCTTAAACACCAAACCTGTTGCCACTGAGTCAATTCCAATTCACAGTGAACCTATAAGACAGAGTAGAGCTGCATCATCAGATTTCCAAGGTTTTGGTTAAGCAGATAACCACATCTTTCTCCTGTGAAGCGGCTGGTGGGTCCAAACCTGTGACCTTTCAGTTAGCAACTGAACACTTCACAATTGCACCACAAGATCTCCTACATTTCTTAAGGACAGGGGCAACTCCTTACAAGCTTTTTTAGTTCCAGAACCTAGCACCAAGCCTGACACTTAATAGACCCTTAATAAATATTTAGGTCGTTTTAGAACCAACTAAGAGCACAGTAAGCAATGACTGAGGAAACTGTGCACACG